GGGTGAATACATCTCATTACACTGATTTACTGGTAGTCTCGAAACCCTACTCTAATACGAATATAAGTGAATTCTTGCATTGAAAACCGTTAAATGGTCTCGATGACTGACATCTTCAAAGAGAGAAAGGTTACTTTACGAAAAAAAGACACAAATATAGTAATAAACTAAGAAAATAGGTGGCCAACTGCGAATTCAATCACTTCTTAAAACTTCCTCTATATTTATATGGTCCGTTCCACAAGGTTTCCCTGGTCTTCATGTATATATGCTTGATGGTTTATGTAGATTGTAGATATGCTCGATGTACTATGTATACCTTGTTATACGTTGGCCCCATCGCGCATGCCTGAAGATGGTAGGGCTGGTATGAAATAAACAACCGGATCATGGGATTCTTCGTCAAGATTGCAAAATTACGTCAAAAAAGTGAAGAGAATTGCAGCCGGCCACCTTTTCTATTAGTTTAGTATATTGATGCATTGTATTCGTAACCTGTGGCTCGTCACTCTGACGATGTCTATCACGACGGTACAGACGGAAACTTGGCAAAAGCTCATCCAACACTCTTCACTCCTCCTTCTTGTTCCGCAAAAAACCATTTCACAAATTCCTTCAGATCAATTTGTCCTTGGCAAGTAAGGGTCGAGTCGCAATAAGAAGGGTCATATTTTTCATCTGCTCTCTCTCGGCCTGGCTACTATTGGTCAGTGTCTGTGCCTACAGATTGCCAGACTGTCATTAAAACTTGAATGAGATTTCGTGTCAGCCTGAGGAATAATAATTGAATTTCTCCAAAATCCAATTAAAAAGCTAAATTTTTGCAGTAACTCTCCCAAAATGTGATCTCATCCACGCCAGACTGAACCAGACTGCAGCTCCGATCTCGATTCAGTCTCATCCTCAGAGAGTTGATGCGGTAGAGCTTGTCTTTTCGACGTGGTACCACAACGCCACATTGCCCCTGCGGCCAGCTGGTCACAGCGCAGACGTGACTTTCAAGGCCGACCAGTTCATTTCCCAAATCACCTCGTTCTTGTGGGATTGTGAATCGGGCAAAATTGCATTTCGCCTTCACAATCAACTGACTATGAAGGTGACGAACCACCGCCAGTTTTCCTCACTCTTCTGCTCCAATTGGGTTGCCCCTTCCCACTGGGCGGGGGGTTTCGTTTGCCCACACCACCCCACAGCATAACTGGCCGGGTTGCTGGGGCGACAGAAGCACACTGTGTTGCATTTGTGCTGCATGCATGCTGTATATGACCTGTATGTGTTCTACATGTGTGCTCTTTACGTGCTACATGTGAACTATGTGTGTGCTGTATGTGTGTGCTCAGGGCTAATTGTCTCTTCCTCCTCCATTTTACACTCTCGCAGCCTCCTACGAGGCTATTGCAGTGGCCGTCGTCATCTCCATCCTCTTGATCCTGGCCACGGGTTCGGCTCTAACGATGCTTCGTCTTCATCTTCGGAAGCATCCCCCCGCGACTTCAGTCTCGGTCAGCAGCGCAATCCAGCGCATGTTGCCGACCTCGAGGCCCAACTGAGGTGGCCGAGTCGCGCAGAAGTCAGCCAAACCGAATATACCAATTTACATGACATGACCTGAGAGGTCAGGACAGGACAGGACTTTCCGCCGATCCGATTTCTCAATCCTCCAAATAAAGCATTCCCTTATTCTGATTTTGGCTATTCACTTGTTTGGGACGAATAATCCAGTCCGCCAGTCAGCTCCGAGCAGTGTTTTGGATGTTTGAAGACTGTCAAGTTGCGAATTTCATTCTTAAATTCTGGGCATCTTTTTCAATATCGGACGGTTGGAGAGAATGTACCAAGACCCAAATTACAAGGGTTGGCCGCCAGAATATTTATTTAATAGATGAAAGGTTTTTTCGACATTTTTGACAATTCTTAAACGAGTTGCTTGAGGTGAATTACTGAATGATTATTGACGTTTTCCCGCAATGGGATGAGTAGGTCTCATCACTAAGTTTTTATTCGAATAATACTGATATTCCCGAACGTTATTCAAATGGAAATTAAGTGAGATTGTCGATTGTAATGAAAAACACGTGTTTGTAGATACGAAAAATAACTGGGTTTCGATTAATATTCCAAGATAATATTGTTGTAAAGACTTTTTTTGTATGAAGATGTACGAAGAAGAGATTCAAAGGCCGACATCATCAGAAGACGACGGCTGATTACGCGTTGTTCTGAAGTCGTGTGTGACAAGTTTAGGTTGACGCAGTTCATTCTTGTAGAAGTAGCATGTTAACAAGCGTCAAGTTATGAAGTGGAACAATACGTACGTTGTAGATACGAAGAAAAAGCGGGTTTCGATGAATCTCCTAAAACACCATTGTTGGTGTGATTTTGAAATATTATTAAAATACACGAGGCAGTCGTCATAGCTACAATGTACGCATGGTACCATTTATTGTCAATTATCCTCTTGCTACATTACAACATTTAGTCCGTCATGAGACACGTAAAGCAGAGCCGGACAGGCTTCTGGACTTGGAGTTGAACTTGAAACTTTGCCCAGAACAATTCCAGCTCTGAGGATGTCTCGTGGACTGCGTCGACCGGAAGGTCGTATCAAATTCAACTGGCCGCAGTGGAACACTTGTTTGTATCATTGCCTCTGTGAGTTGGTAGAGGCCTGGCTTGCCTGGAAGTGAAGTTGTATGGTCGTCAAGATAGTCACGGGCCAAGTTCGAATCCCGTTAAAGCTGCTGATGAGACCAGTCCAGGCAAGGCAGAAGCTGCAGGCCAGTCCGGCTTGAATGAGATAAACTTTTCGGAGGCAATGTCAGGTGAACTTCAGTGGCCTTCTGAGATGGTATCATCTGATTGCGGGAAAAAATAAAATATTGCTCTTTAAATCCCCTTGAATGCCTCAGGATGGCTAATCCTTATTCAGGCATTAATGATGGCCTCAAATGTTATTCCGATCGAAATGATAATGGGATCTTGCGCACAACCAAATCATTTGGCTTCGCATCCACAACCGCTGCGGGATTCGAACCGGGCCATGGGCATCCTGGCCACAGGTTAACCTTCCAAACTAGGATGAGATATATGAGATGTATTCACCCTATTTCGTGTAAGGTGATGAAGGACTGGTAGTAGAATTCTCTCACAATCACATGAGTACAGCCGTTTCCAGTGAATTTCACAAAGCCCTGCTTCTCGAAACTCTACTTACATACAAAAAATAAGTAACCTAGTCGATTGTTCTAGCAAAAATACGTTTACTTCATCGTCAATCCAACCGAAGAAATTCACATCAGCCCTATGACCCAAGGGCACTTGTGGCAATGTGGCCGAGTGGTTAGCGTGTCAAGCTACCATTCTGCACTGTCACGGTTCGAGTCCCGCTGGGGGTGTTGAGAAGACCGATGCGAGGTTGAAACTGCAGTCCACTCCCGCCTGGATGGGAACAAATTTTGGGAAAGCAAGGCTCTGTGAAAGTGAATGAAAACGTCAGCTCAACTCATCTGATTGTGGGAAAAATCTTCTACCAGTCCTTCATCACCTTAAACGAAATTGGGTGAATACATCTCATACTACTGATTAAATGGTAGTCTCAAAGCAATACTTAAATGCGAAAAATAATGACGACTAAGCCTGAACCAGTTCGGGAGGACCGTTTTTCACGCCAGACAGCCGATTTAGCTTGTGCCATCTTGTCTGGACACACATTTGACCCTTTCAACAATACCCAATGGCGCTGGCCGAGAGGAGAATGAGCAACACTATCAAATAAGTAGTCCGTCTCAAATCAACTGGATGATCTAAACCTGAATCCCAAGTCAGTTGAATTGACTTTAGTTGGAAATGGAAATGGAAAAGAAAGTAATTTAGTTTTGATGAATCTTATGAGGAAACATAGTTGAGGAGACTTTCGCTTTGCATAAAAGTGCATCATGAAGAGATTTGAAGGTCGATCTCACCAAAAGACGAAGACTGATTCCCGTTGTACGGCAACCGTTTTTAGTTTAATACGATTTTCAGGTCGACGCAGACCATAACACATCTTTCCACACTTTGGATGAAGAAAAGGCTACATTTTCGTCCATCATATGATGGGCATCATCATAAGGTTAGCTAACTTTTCTAAAAATTTCACATTAACACGGCTGCAGTAAAACAGGAGTCAGTCGTCGTCTTCTGGTGAGATCGAGCTGCGGGGCTTGTCTTCATGCCCTTTCATGCAAAAGGAAAGTCTGCCCAACAATCTATTTTACATCTTATACATACTCATGACCAAAAACGACATTATATATACCTGGATGGAGGGATAGTCATAGATATTCGTTTTTAGGTCTCCCCAACAATCTATTTTATGCCTTACACATACTCAACCATAAAAATGAATGAATGCATTTGCAATAACAATCGACTAGGCTACTTATTTTTCGTATGTAAGTAGAGTTTCGAGACTACCAGTAAATCAGTAATATGATATGTCGAGGTTCAAACTGCAGTCCAGCCTGGATAAGAACAACTTTTGGGAAAGCAAGGCATTGTGAAATGCAATGGAGACGTCAGCTATACTCATATCATCGTGTGAAAAATCCTACTAACAGTCCTTCATAAGCTTAAACGAAATTGGCTGAAAACGACTCATATAAACAAAGTCAACAAAGCCTTATCTGATGGCGAAATGTGTCATCACTACTGACCGAGTTTAAGTAGGCAGGTGCAAGTCAAAGGTTGCGTCGAGCTCTGTCTTTTTGTAGAAAGTGGACAACTTGCGGAAGTCTATTTGAGACCCACACTTTGGCTCTTCTGGGCGCATTGTGAGAGGAATAAAGAGGGAATTCTGTGCGGCCAGGTCACTTAAAGTTGAGCCTTGAGTAAGCCATGGAATGTCATTAACTTTCACTTGGACTGCCCTACAAAAAGCAGTTTCGTTTTTCTGACTGGGTGGAAGTTGTAGTTGTTATGACAGTCGATTACATTAATAATTTTTTTTTTATAAATAGGGTTTCGAGACTACCAATCTCATTGTGGGGAAATTCAACGCCCAATCCTTCATGCCCCTAAACAAAATAGGGTGAATACACCTCATATAACCGATTTACTGTTAGTCACACAACCCTACCTATAAATAAAAGTAATTTACTTAATTGTCATAGCAAGGATAACTCTGTATCGTCTACCAAAGCCTTGGCGCTATTTCGACACCTTTTGAGGGTAAGAGACAACTCTAATGTTCAACCCAATTGATGGAGTCTCCGAGTGCCCAACTGGCATGGGATGGGCCTCTTTCGCCTCAGACACTCTGTCTGTTTATGTCCAGGCCGGGTTAGAAGATTGGCTATTCAGAATTGGATGCTTTGATTGGGCGACCAATTCCCTGACTCGACGTCCGTCTCAGCATCTTCCGTCTCCAAGTCAGACTTTCCGATTGAGGCAGTGGAAGGAAGAATAAAAGAGCAAGATTCCCACTTGCGTCGGATTTTATTTTCACCCAACACACTTTTTAGTGTGTTGGTGTGGCCTTTTGTGTGGTCTCAGTCTCCTTTCGTTGTATAGAAGTTGTTTGACCCTTTTTTTGCAACATGGTCATGTTGGTAGGAAGACTTAGAGGAAGACACCTAGTCCGGAGTCCATAGTATGCATCATCATTTCCAGAGTAGGACCGTGGATGTGGTACATTCCCAGACGTTTTGCCAGCATCGTCAATGAGTTTCGCCATTCGTAGCACCACACAACAACTCCTTTGACCAAACGTGTGCTAAACAGCTATGATATCTCCCCATCTAGCCTGGCCTATTCACATTTCCTATATCCTCCCATCATACCTTACCTGTCACAATTTTTCACGGTGCTTATTTTTAATGTAGTTTGGTGTGAAATGATGTGTGGAAATGATGATGCATACAATTGACTCTGGACTGGGTGCGTTCCTCTCAGTCATCCCACCAACATGACCGAGTTGTGGAAACAAGGTCAAACAAAGAGAAACTTGGTTTCGATGAATCTCCTGAGATAACATTGTTAGGAAGACCTTCATTTCGAATGAAAGTGCATGAAGAAGAGATTCGTTTGTCGATCTCACCAGATGAA